TCTTGTGTATATATAGATATATATCTATAGATATATAGATGTATATAAATTTAGTGTGTGTGTGTGTGTGTGTGTGTATTTCTTTCATGTGTATGGTGGGTGTAGTATTTTATGTGCAGGGATAGGTTTTTGTTTTAATGGGAAGGCGGGGGTAGAAAGAGTATAAGTGTATTAGGCTCCATTCACACCTGTATCTTTAGGTGCAATTAGGGATTCCTGCATCAGGAACATGCGTTTCCTGCATCAGAAATCCCTAATCTGGCTTTTAAAAGCGGCAGCTGTCACCTATTCAAGTTAATGATCAGGTGACAGCAGTTGCATGTAAATGCCTGCACACCGCATGTAACATGTGATATTACATTCGGTTAGGAATCAATCACTCTCCCTGGACGCAATGATTGTGTATCCAGGGAGAGTGTTTTCTAACCGCATGTAATATCACATATGATTACATGCGGTGTGCAGGCATTTACATGCAACTGCTGTCAGCTGATTACTTGAATGGGTGACAGCGGCTGCGTGTAAACATCAGATTAGGGATTGCTGCTGCAGGAAAATGCAAGTTTCTGACGCACGAATCCCTAATTGCACCTAAACCTACAGATATGAATGGGGCCTTATTGTGTGTATTGGGGTCTGTAGTACCATATCGCATATAGTTACATTTTATTTTAAAGGAGAACTATGGGGTAAGTGCTTTTCCCCATAGTTCTCCGGGTCACGGGAGGACATAAGCTAGCGTCCTCCCATGACCCAAAGCTCAGTATACCGGAAGCTACAGCTCGTGGTATACTGAGACCGCCGCTGCCGGGACGGATCCTGACATTACTGTTGAGATCCCCCCAGCTGCGTGAATGACAGCTGGCTCTGCCTATCTAGAGACAGAGCCAGCTGTACCCGCCCCCTCCCCCGTCCGTTCAGATCGGAGGGGATCCCTGCAGGGAGCCGTGACAGTAGAGAAGTGAGTGAGCGACGGTCTGCGTTCGCTCACTTCTCGATCTAATGAGTCCGCTCACTTCTCGATCTATTGAGTCGACGTGTGACAGTTTCATTGTCACACGTCGGCTCGAACTATGAGGCTTAGTGAAAATCACTCACCTCATAGTGCTCCTTTTTAAAATTTGAAATTTGGCGAGCGGCCCCCATGGGAGAAAACATTTTGTCGAGTGGCCCTCAAGGGAATTGAGTTTGAGACCCCTGCTCTAGAGGAAGGGTACAGGTTTTCTTCCTGCTCTATTGTAACTGAAGTTGAAGGTTGGGGTCATGGCAGCTCAAGCAGCACTGCAGAGTAAGAATACCTACTTGGGTCTTCCTGCTCTTATGCTAAATCTTCTCTTGCAAGTGGTAACTGTCTGAGACATCAGGTGTATAGATGGGTCACCTGGTTGTTCAGGAGCCCATTTGCCTTTGATCCTTACTGCTGACTTCACGAGCACTTTCAAAGTGGGTACAGCAGTGTGCTGACTGGGCAATGGTTCAGTGCATTTGCTTCAACCCTGCAGTATAGCTAGCTGTTGAATCCTTTTAAAGGTGGAATGTTCATAGAAATCTAATATTTAAAACAGAGTACATTTTTTAATAATAAATTACTTGTTGCAATAACAATTGATCTTTAAGTCTTTCTATTCCAGTGTTCTTGAAGTTGAGAAAACATTGGTTCTGGCTGAAAAGGGAAGTGAAGACGATGATAGTGATGTTGAGTTCTTAACAGCTGGGCTTAAGTTCCGAATTCTGGCTACAATGAACCCTGGTGGTGACTTTGGCAAGAAAGAGGTATCTGTTTGAATAATTTTTTTCCACAGCTCAGTATTTACATCTAGATTAATTGCATAACCCCAATATTTCTAGACACAACTTTGTGTGTTCAAATGAAAAGTTTGTTCTCATGCCTGCACAGTCATACATATACTGAAGAAAAAAATTGTTTGGCTACTCACCCGCTTATCCAGGTCAAAGCTGCCAGTTGTCATGGCAGGCAGACAGAGCAGGCCTCCCACTAGCTCCCAGTGATCTTAAACAGAGGGAGTACAGACATCAAATGATTCTGTGTGTGCTAATTTGTAAATTGTGAGACCTTGTGGCTTCAGAAACCATAGTAGTTAGTAGGCTATATTTTGAAATAGAACTAGCTTTCCTTTTATGCCAATAACGTTTAGACTGGAGATATGTTTTAATAAAGCAAATCATTTTTGTGTTGTAAGCCTTGTGAGGTCTGTGATTTTCATTTTGGGATTATAGTATAATTTTTAAGTTTTTTTGTTTTTTTAATGGTTACAATGTATGTCTAAATTAGCTGCTTTGTTTTCACAGCTCTCTCCTGCCCTGCGCAACAGGTTTACGGAGATTTGGTGCCCACAGAGTAATAAGCGGCAAGATCTTTTAGAAGTCATTAAACACAATCTAAATCCTAGAATATGTCTCGACTCTATAGAAGGCAACGGTAAATTTCCTAACTAAATGTTTTAGGATGATTTTAAAATTGAATAGTGTTGTAGTTGATTACACCTGTACTGTATGTATTTCTTTGCTACCGAACAACAAGGTGAGTAGTGCAAGTACACATACAAACTAGAATAATTGTACTTTTAAAATTTGTGCACTTGTTTTGTACGGTCCCCGGCTGTATAAAAAAACGTAGGTAAATTATTTTAGATTGGTATTATCTAAACTATTGTAATATACCGACTATATAAGCTGTGCCGGTAGTGTGTAGGGTTTTAAAATGTGATAAAAGTTTGAAATGATCATTGCATATAGTTGACTGAGAGAGATTGTGTACTTAAGATGTGATTTTTTTTTTTTTTTTTAATGTTACGATAACCAATTTCTTAATAATAAAGATCTGTAAACTGCTGATTTTATTTTAGATGGTGGAATAGCTGAACTGATCATGGACTTTATTGAATGGTTGATCAGCCAAGATTTTGGTCGTCGTTGTATACTCAGTATCCGAGACGTACTTTCCTGGGTGAATTTTATCAATGTTACGGCAGATGATACATCAGTTAAAGAAGACATTGGAACAACTCTTAATGCTGTTTTGGCTTTTATACATGCAGCATGTCTTGTGTACATTGATGGCTTAGGATCAGGTGAGTGTTGCATGGTTTGCACTGTTAATAGACTCCTGAACAAATCTTTTCTGCCTAGAAGAATGTAGGACATGAAAAACATAATAAAGGCTATATATAGAGGAAGAAGAAAATATTTCCACTCTCTGGGGTGTGCCACTACCCAGAGGGAAAATAGGATTTTTGTACTCACCGTAAAATCCTTTTCTCTCCGTTCATTGAAGGACACAGGCAACAGATCGTAGATCCTGAATGGTAGGGTAATATCGCCACCTGCAGGAGAAGGATGCTAGGCACAAAACTAAAGACCAATTACAGCCTAGGGGCGGCCCCTGCCGGTGGCCAAACCCCCCACATGCTGACAAGTCTCCAGTTTAGTAACAATCAGTTTGGAGTGTACACCCCATAAAGAGGGCGGGGCCTGTGTCCTTCAATGAACGGAGAGAAGGATTTTACGGTGAGTACAAAAATCCTATTTTCTCTCCCGTTCATTGAAGGACACAGGCAACAGATCGTAGATCCTGAATGGTAGGGACGTCACCAAGCAGTAACACGCTGAGGGATGGGCAACAATAAAACACCCAAAAGACCCCTCAAAGCGCCGCCTGCAACACTTTGCGCCCCAAACCAGCATCTGTCAATGCTAACACGTCCACCTTGTAGAACTTAACAAAGGTGTGAACAGAAGACCAAGTAGCGGCCTTACAAACCTGAGAAACAGAGGCCCCGTGGTGGAAAGCCCAGGAAGCCCCAACAGCCCTAGCAGAATGGGCAGTGAAGAGCCTACTTGGAAGCCTGGTCTGCCGACCAGCACTGAAGCCAGGGCGTCACCGCTGACATCGACACCCTGGACACCAAGGGCGCCGCATCCAAAGCCGAATCACAGACATAACGCAGGCCCAGCACCAACTGGTCCGCCAATTCCACAAAGGCGGGGGAGACGTTCTCCTCCGCAAGACCCTGATGTAACATTGTAGCCCACTCAGAGTCGAGAGATCAAAGCCGAAGCCAAGACCGGACGCATGAGAGCTCCGGAGACAGAGTACAGGGACCGCAAAAGCGCCTCAGTCTTCCTATCGGAAGGATCCATAAAGAACGGAGAATCCTCCACCGGGATAACCGTGGCCTTGTTTAAATGAGAGACCGGCGGGTCTACCACCGGTGGCGAAGACCACTTAGACACAAAATCCTCAAAAGGATAGCGAACCGAGAACCGTTTCGGAACCGCAAATCATCATTAACATGATTTAAAAGTGGGATAAAACCTATATTAATACATTCACCACATGGTAGCGATGCTACACAATTCTGGGTCAAACGATTCGCTTCCAAGGCTACACATATAGTATTACATATAGATGTCCCAACACGAACACGTTTCGCCCATCGGGGCTTCTTCAGGGGAACAAGAAAATGTATATCATGTTAGGATTCCTAGAGCAGCTAATCTGAGGCAGAGGAGGTATAAGAAAATAGATGGGGAACCAGCTGTTCTATTCAATTCCGGTTCATAAAAAGGATTTGTCAGGCATAGACTTCCAAGCAGGAGGGTCGCGTCAAAGGAGCACACCACAGCAACCAAGCGATCAACAGCAAGCAAATAGCAGGTGAAGTGTTATAATACCCTGCTCATGGAGCGTGATGCTGTGTTGTCCTCCTCCCGGGTGCCGCACGTAATCAAGGCTATCTCTGTGTGTGTTCAGTGGTCTAAACAATTCCAAATGTAACATGACTACAGACTTGTATATAATGAAAAGCACTAATGAAATTGGCATATAAATAATTCATTATAAAACAATGAAAACCTTCAGAGTAATAAGTTAATGTGAATCAAATAAAGTAACAAGATTGTGTTATGCACATTGCAGTTCTCCAACTGCAGTTCTCCTCTATTCAAAACTAATAGTACTTACCTGTACATACAGCTTTCTCAGTTTATAAAGCAATAGTCCAATTATTAAAGTTGCATTTAGCTTTAACGCTTTAACTATTTAAGCAAAATGCCTTGCTCTGGCACTTTTTGCTGTAGGATGGTTTAATTTCAAGTGTAATTCCAAGTGTAAAGCAGTTGACACTATCTCTGGTTTGAATAAGATTTAGTAGTTTTGTTTCAATGTACAGGGTCTTAGTATTTCCTCATTTTGTGCAGGTTCTACGTTTTGCTCTGCTGAGACTGCTGTATCAGCCCGACAAAAGTGTATGCACTTTTTGCAAGAAAAGCTTACTACTGTCATGGAGATTACCGAAGATGTGTTGTCAGAGCTTCACATGTATGAGTCCAAGGAACGTAAGATTAGTTGGTTGGGGGACTCTTTTGGAATCCATCCTTTTTATATCCCTCGAGGTAAGCAGCCGGTTTTGTTCATTTCAATACAAACAATTGCTGTATTTATATTATAAGCCTTTGGTAGTGTGTTCCGGTGATTTATATCTCCTTCAGACATACAAATATTAATGGCTTCGAACTACGTAGCTGATTTGACAGGCATCATTGGGCTGTGTAGGGTTTGCTAGACGGGGATTAGTACTAAAGTTTTCACTTGACCACTGAGACCTATGTTGGGAATTATTATTACGATTAAAGACTACTATGCTGGGGCTTATCTTGTTCCTACTTTCTCTGCAGTGTACTTAAATACAGCAGAATCAAAACTTTTGTGCATTGAATATGTTACAGTGCATTCTTTTTCACTGAGCTGCCTTTATTGCATGAAAATGATCTACACATAAGGCCCTCTATAATTTTCAAGTTGACAATCACTTCTCTACCCATTGCTCTCGGTTAGATTTCAACTGTTTTGTGGACAACTATAAACAAGTGTTGGAACACAATTTTTAAAATGTTAAAGTGTGGGTTTTTGTTTGTTAATTTTCCAGGTCCTATTTTTGAAGGAGAAGATTTGAGTAATTATGCACTTAATTCACAAACTACTTCAATGAATGCGCAGAGACTATTGCGAGCCCTGCAGCTGCAGAAGCCCATTCTGTTGGAGGGGTCACCAGGTGTTGGCAAGACTAGTCTTGTATCTGCGTTGGCCAAAGTATCTGGGAACCAACTTGTGCGAATTAACCTTTCTGAACAAACGGTACTTTTCTAGTTTCTTTGTTAAATCCTTACTAAGCCCTCATTTACACCTACCATGTAGGTACAATTTGGAATTCCTGTGGCAGGAAGTTGAGATTTCCTGCAGCAGGATTTCCAGATCTCCCGTTTACAAGTGGCAGATGTCACCAGTTCAAGTTAATTGGGTGACAGCGGTTTGATTTGAAAGCGGCACAACGCTGATAACACCACATGTAATTAAATTCTGATCAAAAAGACCAACTTTCACTGTACGTGTAGCCTTCATTCACACCTGCACCAAGAAGGTCTGATTTGGAATTATGCTGCTTTCAAATGCAGCAGCTGCCACCCGATCATTAAGGTGAACAGGTGACAGCTGCTGCTTCTAAAGAGAAGATTTGGAATTCCTATTGCAGGAAATCCCAAGTTCCTGCCAAATTATTTACAAATAGTGTTGACTGGTATATAGGGGCAATTTGATACACCCCTCAGTTAATCCTCCCAATATTTTCAACTATCGTTAATGGGGGGTTTTAGGTATCACCAAAGTAGTTTCAACAAAAATTACATAATTTATTAAGATTAAAGATCATACATAAAAACAATGCATGAGTCACATTACTGTTAAATGTTCAAACAATGACTTTAACTCAAGAAACCCCATTTGAAGCCATCTTTTCTTGAGATTTACTGTTCATTCCTGTGTTCCATTTGCGTTTTCAATTTTGCAGAGATCCGTGTGGGACTTCGTTTCTCTTTGTATATCCTGTAAGGGTATGCAAAGAATAAATAGAATCATTTATAAAGCAGTGGGGTTTATTTGTATATAGAGCTACTGCCCCGCAATGTTGGCACAGAGGAGAAAAAACAAAATGCAACACGTCCAACTGAGGCATAAACATCTCCTCACCAAAACGATGAAAATTCGCCGGAAAATTAGTGTCGAATAGTTCCCTCCTACTGTTATAAATTGCTGAATGGATCGGCTAGCATGTACTATTCTGCCCTTCCACTTGTCTCTCCTTCTGGCTGGCGGTTTGACAGTGCTGGTGTTGCCTGTCCATATACCCCCCCACTACCTGGGGGACCGCTTCATGATTGTGACGTGTAATGTCATGGCGGTCCTATGAGCATGTGACTGCTCCTCAATACTTATGCCAGTGCAGAATGGAGTCCGAGGACCGTCCACAGTTCCACCCAAAAAGGGTTGGGATGCCAGCCTCATATTCCCAGATCCCCCCCCTCTTCTCCCTCCACACCCAGCACCAGCATACTGGAGGAGAGAAAGGGCGATGAGCAATGAAGAGATGGATGCATTTGTCAGGCTCTGTCCCTAAATACATACATCCGTCCTGCCTCAGTCAAGAGTCGGTGCTGTATGCCCCCAGTCCTGCAATCGAAACCCCACCTCCACAGAGTGCCAAACTAGTTAAATTAATCAATACATTACAATAATATTAAAGGAGAACTATGGGGTCAGGACTTTTCTCCATAGTTCTCCTAAGGGTCACGGGAGAACACAAACTAGAGTTCTCCCGTGACCCAAAGCTAAAGTATACAGCGAGCTACAGCTCACGGTATACTGAGTCGCCGCAGCCGGGACGGATCCTGACAATACTGTCTTGATCCACACTGCTGCGGGATTGACAGCTGGCTCTGCCAATCCAGAGGCAGAGCCAGCTATGCCCACCCCCGTCTGTTTCGCCAGTCAGCTCTGGAGGATCGGAAAGGGGGAATCCCTGCAGGGAGCCGTGAGTGACAGTCACAGCTCTCTGCAGGGATAGATCGAGAAGTGAGCGAGCGACTATGTGTTCGCTCACTTCCCGATCTACTAAGTCGACCCGTGACAGTTTCATTGTCACAGGTCGGCTCAGATTATGAGGCCTCATTGCTTTACTTTCTTGTGGCTCTGTTCAGGCTCGGGGAGCGTAGGGAAATACCCAACACTTCCAGGTATGGGAGAGCATTTGACTCGCTCCCTCCTCATGTGACAGTGCTGGTGCCTCATGATTGTTCCAGCACTGTCACATGGTGCTGGTAAAGGAGTCTTAAGGTGCCACACACCTTGCGATAATCGTACGATAATCGCGGGAAATCCCGCGATGGTACGATGATCGTACGGTGTGTGGAAGCTGTGCGACCTCTACTACTGTTAGGTCGCACAACTTTTATCTTACGAACATGTTCGAAAACCCGCCGAGCATGTTCCTAAGATAAAAGCCGGACTGCCCGTTCGGCATTGCGGTCATCGCAAGCACGCCCCTCAGGTGTGCTTTTCACTCGCCTCATAGTTCTAGCCGACCTGTGACAATGAGACTGTCACAGGTCGACTCAGTAGATCTGGAGATGAGCGAACACATACCGGGTTCGCTCACCTCTCGATCCTGTCACGGCTCTGCCGTGACGGGGAGGGGCTGGATTCCCCTCTCCCCGCTCCGATCTGCCAGCGCTGACTGGCGGAACGGACGGGGGCGGGTACAGCTGGCTCTGCCTCTAGATAGGCAGAGCCAGCTGTCACTCACGCAGCTGGGCGGATCCCGACGTCTTAAGTCGGGATCTGCTCGGCTGCGTCGTCTCAGTATACCGCTGTAGCTCGCGGTATACTGAGCTTAAGGTGACGGGAGGACGCTAGTTTGTGTCCTCCCGTTACCCTAAGGAGAACTATGGGGAAAAACACTGACCCCATAGTTCTCTAACTTGTTTTCACTAGTTAGTTGACATGCACATTTTATGAAACGAAAACACACACAGGTTTTTTTCTCCTTTTTTTTTTTTTTTTTTTTTTTTTTTTTTTTTGCTTTCAAATTTTTTAAATGTATTCTTGTAAGCAAATAACTTTTCTTCTAGTATCAGTCATTAAAAAGAGATTACCTGCTTTCTCCTGCTAATGCTGCATTTATTTTTTTTCACATTGCTCTGCTGCTAAGGATGTGACCGATTTGTTTGGCACTGACTTACCAATTGAAGGGGGCAAAGGTGGTGAGTTTGCTTGGCGAGATGGCCCTTTTCTGTCAGCCTTAAAAGCTGGACACTGGATTTTATTAGATGAAGTAAGTGCCCTCTTCACCTTTATTTCCTTAATTAATGTTACTTTTTGAGACTTTCATTGTCCTTGCTTGCATTTAGTAAGATGTATGACTTTCATTGTCCTCTTTTGAAATGCTGAAGTGACTGCTAGATTCGGTGATGTTTTCTTGTGACTTTTTCTCTGCTTTCCTTTTCGTTTTCATGGAATTAAAATGATGTAAGCGTGATCTTCTTTTACATATGCTTTTTTATTTTACTTTTTTTGAAGAATTGCTAAGTGAGTCATTTCTATCTCCTAAAATGATTTGGCCTTAGAACCTGTTTTCTGTTTCTTTTATTTCACGCAGCTCAATCTTGCCTCTCAGTCGGTACTGGAAGGATTGAATGCTTGCTTTGACCATCGGTCTGAGGTATACATACCAGAACTAGGCATGACATTTCAAGTACAACAAGAGAAGACAAAGATCTTTGGTTGTCAGAACCCCTTCCGGCAAGGTGGTGGTCGAAAAGGACTCCCACGATCTTTTCTTAACAGGTTTACACAGGTTAGTGCTTTCTAAGCCTTCTATCCTAAAATGCAGCTTTCATGCTTGAAGTTGCAGAACTAGCTTAATGGGCTGCTATTCAGCTATAGATCTAGAGTACACAGTTTTATGTGATCATATTTGATGGCCTATTTCAGTCTATGAAATCTTTATTCCTTCCAAAAATTGTTTGTGTGACTTTCTTTTAGTTCAAGATTTACATTTTTTTTAGACTGGATCTCTAGTTCCAATAATCTCTAGGGCTTTTCTAACCGTTTGGTGCCAAGCCATTCATCCTCAATGGACAATTGCTTGGCATATTAACTGCAACATGCATTACTTAGGTACTGCTGGTTAGTACACACTATATTGCCAAAAGTATTGGGACACCCCTCCAATTCATTGGATTCAGGTGTTCCAATCACCTCCATGGCCACAGTTGTATAAAATCAAGCACCTCGGCATGCAGACACTTATACAAACATTTGTCAAAGAATGGGTCGCTCTCAGAAGCTCAGTGAATACAAGCGTGGTACCACGATAGGTTGCCACCCATGTAATAAGTCCATCCGTGAAATTTCCTTGCTAATAAATATTCCACAGTCAACTGTTAAGGTGCCCATACACCTTGCGATTATCGTACGATTTTCATATGCGATCGACTTTTTGGCCGATCGTATGTGTGCATTGCAGTGTCCGACCGACAGTACTGTACAATCGTACGACTTTTGACGGTCAAGCATGTTTGAAAACTTTGCTAGATCGTACGATTGTTGTAAGGTTGCTGGCGTTTCCGTCCGTCAAAAGTCGTACGATCTACACTGCGCTTGCGCTAACGAAAATACGGCAAATCAATTACCGCATTTCGTCCAGCTGCTTTTCGTTAATTACGGCTAAATTAGTCTTGCGATCATCGGGGCAGGATGGGGCTGCCGTACGAAAATCGTACGACTATTCGATCATCGGATGGAAAGTTTAGTCCGATCGTAAGGTGTATGGGCACCTTTAGTGATATTATAACAAAGTGGAAGCAACTGAAAAAAACAGCAGCAACTCTGCCACAAAGTGGTAGGCCAGTAAAATGACAGTGCGGGGTCAGCGCATGCTGAAGTGCACAGTGCGCAGAAGTCACCAACTGTCTGCAGAGTCAATAGCTACAGACCTTCAAGTTTGGTGGAGGGGGGATTATGGTGTGGGGTTGTTTTTCAGGGGTTGGGCTTGACCCCTTAGTTCCAGTGAAGGGAACTCTTAAGGCATCAGCATACCGAGACATTTTGAACAATTTCATGCTCCCATCTTGGTGGAAACAGTTTGGGAATGGCCCCTTCCTGTTCCAACATGACTGCGCACCAGTGCACAAAGCAAGGTCCATAAAGACATGGATGAGTGAATTTGGGGTGGAGGAACTTGACTGGCCTGCACAGAGTCCTGACCTCAACCCGATAGAACACCTTTGGGATGAATTAGAGCGGAGACTGCGAGCCAGGCCTTCTGGTCCAACATCAGTACCTGACCTCACAAATGGGCTTCTGGAAGAATGGTCAAACATTCCCATAGACACACTTCTAAACCTTGTGGACAGCCTTCCCAGATGAGTTGAAGCGGTTATAGCTGCAAAGGGTGGGCCAACTCAATATTGAACCCTACGGACTAAGACTGGGGTGCCATTGAAGTTCATGTGCATGTAAAGGCAGGTGTCCCAATACTTTTGGCAATATAGTGCATGTGAAAGCATTGAAGTACACATAAATCTCCAACTGATCGGCACACGTTTTTATCCTTTTTTCTTTTTGTGCATATCAGCACTGCTGGCCCCCTTGCAGCCACTTCCTGACATGCATGCACGTCAACAACTGCTGCACATCATTTCTTAGGGCGAGGTTCCTGTTGGTGACAACAGTGGACGCTGCTTGTGTGGACATGCCTGCTTGTGAGAATCCCTTGTGGCAGGGTGACAACACAAGTGCACAATAGGGAGACAGGAACAGAGCATTGTCTATAATAGGAGGTGCTTGAACAAGTTCCTTTAGGGCAATATCATTAGGTATTTTAATCAAAGCTATAGATTAAAAATACAGTTCTTTTAAAATTATTTTAACATGTAAAAAAAACAAGCAAAGGAAAATGTACTAATAGTCTTTTCATGATAAAAATTGTGTCTCTTTAGGTGTTTGTGGATCAACTTTCACCATGTGATATGGAATTTATAGCCAATGCACTATTTCCCACCTTGGGTGAAGCTAGGATTATGGTGTGGGGTTGTTTTTCAGGGGTTGGGCTTGACCCCTTAGTTCCAGTGAAGGGAACTCTTAAGGCATCAGCATACCGAGACATTTTGAACAATTTCATGCTCCCATCTTGGTGGAAACAGTTTGGGAATGGCCCCTTCCTGTTCCAACATGACTGCGCACCAGTGCACAAAGCAAGGTCCATAAAGACATGGATGAGTGAATTTGGGGTGGAGGAACTTGACTGGCCTGCACAGAGTCCTGACCTCAACCCGATAGAACACCTTTGGGATGAATTAGAGCGGAGACTGCGAGCCAGGCCTTCTGGTCCAACATCAGTACCTGACCTCACAAATGGGCTTCTGGAAGAATGGTCAAACATTCCCATAGACACACTTCTAAACCTTGTGGACAGCCTTCCCAGATGAGTTGAAGCGGTTATAGCTGCAAAGGGTGGGCCAACTCAATATTGAACCCTACGGACTAAGACTGGGGTGCCATTGAAGTTCATGTGCATGTAAAGGCAGGTGTCCCAATACTTTTGGCAATATAGTGCATGTGAAAGCATTGAAGTACACAAAAATCTCTAACTGATCGGCACACGTTTTTATCCTTTTTTCTTTTTGTGCATATCAGCACTGCTGGCCCCCTTGCAGCCACTTCCTGACATGCATGCACGTCAACAACTGCTGCACATCATTTCTTAGGGCGAGGTTCCTGTTGGTGACAACAGTGGACGCTGCTTGTGTGGACATGCCTGCTTGTGAGAATCCCTTGTGGCAGGGTGACAACACAAGTGCACAATAGGGAGACAGGAACAGAGCATTGTCTATAATAGGAGGTGCTTGAACAAGTTCCTTTAGGGCAATATCATTAGGTATTTTAATCAAAGCTATAGATTAAAAATACAGTTCTTTTAAAATTATTTTAACATGTAAAAAAAACAAGCAAAGGAAAATGTACTAATAGTCTTTTCATGATAAAAATTGTGTCTCTTTAGGTGTTTGTGGATCAACTTTCACCATGTGATATGGAATTTATAGCCAATGCACTATTTCCCACCTTGGGTGAAGCTATTGTTTCTAAAATGGTTTCTTTCAACAACCAGGTATAGTAAGCTAAATTGGTAAGGGTTTTTCTTGTGGAAACTGGATAACAGTTATTGTTATAACATCCTTCTGCTTGATGTGACTTTCTATCTACTTGTTACTTTGTTCCTTTTAAAATTCATAACTTGTTAACCCTTTTCTGCCTCAGAAGTAAATACCATGGCAGTGCTAGCATGTAAACAGTAGCAGCTGGGAGATATTGTTTTTGCTCCCTGTTGCTGGCTAGGTAGTAGAAATGATTAACAGTTGTTGAACTACTGTGTGCTGCAGAAAATTCCTTCCTTCCTCTCAGGCTCACCTGTCCCTCCTGGGTGCCCGGGACTTTGGTGGGTGTCAGGATGAAGAGAAGCTGGAGATGAGTGAACATACGTTCGCTAATCTACCCTGTGAAGAATAAGGCACTTGTCTCTCAGCACTTCATTAAAAAAAAAAATATGAACAAAATAAACACGCTTTTTATGAAAGCCCACTGCCCTCATGTAGCTGAAAAGGCGTTTAACATTTTGCAGTTGGATGCAAGTGGACAATTTTAAATACATGTTAGAGTTTTATACTGTTTCTCTGCACTTAAGTTAATTTTGAGTTGTTTTTTTTTCTATGGCTAGTTTTTGTTGTTGTTTTTAAAAAAAAAAATGAAATATAGCTGCAATAAACAGTAACACAAGTATTGTGTGACACAAAAATTTTTGCGGCTGCACCATCTTGTTCAACAGGGTCTCTGCTTTCAGAAAATAGGCCTATAATTTGCATTTTAACATGTGCAAAATATGAAGAACCCCCCCTCCAAAACCAACAAACTCTGGCAGTGAAAAGCTTAATGGATGGCCAGAGTGAAGGTTTCTTTTTAATGGAGGTTAAATCACAAATGTGGTTAGATTAAAAGATTAGAAATAGATTTCCACACATGGAAATCACATTTACAGTTTTTATTATAGTTTTCAGACGTTTTTATTTTGGAATTTTTAGGAAAACCAGTACAGAAATGGAAGAGTACTGGAGCAGATATAAGTGGACATAGAAGTATTGTTTCATAAATGGTGGAGAATATTAAAACAATAGAAATGCAGTGGGCACATGTCAAAAACAAATGTGTGAATAGTTGCAGCAATAATTTTGTTTGGACCAAATTGACTGCAATGTTAATCTCTTTTATAGGTTGACCTGGAAGTAATGACTCAGAGAAAATGGGGTCAAAAAGGAGGACCATGGGAGTTTAACTTGAGAGATCTGTTCCGTTGGTGTCAACTTATGCTGCATGATCAGTCACCGGGAAACTATAATCCTTCTCAGCACGTGTTTCTGGTCTACGGAGATAGAATGAGAACAAAAGAAGACAAACAAATGGTTAGTCTGCATGCAAGTGTGAAGCGTTATTTCTTCGTATTACTGAAACACTTATTTTTTGTCACTGCCATTCCACTATATAGCAAGTACACCTAAGGGCACTCTTCTAAAACATTAGAATGGTAGTTGGTAAAGCTTAGCCGTGAACATCAGACCCCAGTATTAAATAGAAACTAAATCAGACTGGGAGAGGAAGATTTGCTATTACTGAGCCAATCAGGTTCTGCTGCATGTACATGTGCTGAAAAGGAACACACTGTCAAGATTTGTGAGTTGACTCAGTTTTGTCTTCTGCTCTTTCATTGACTGAAAGGCTGGGGGCTTAGAGGTGTTCAAGCATAATTGCCTATCTGCAGTAGGAAAAAGTGAAGGCACCAGCCTGACTGCTGTCTGCACAGGGCTCTGTAAATCTCACAACTTTGTTAGCTCTCTAAGCCAGCAGGTGGAATATCCAGAAATAGTGTGTTTAGACATTACTTTCTAATGCTCTTATTCTTTAATTTAGGTAATTTCTGTGTTCAAGAGCGTGTTTGGACAGGATCATGTTCCTTACGTGGGTACTCGACAGTTTTACATCACACCTCCGGTTGTGCAGGTAATCTGAATATATACTAACGGTTAAGAATTTTAATGTTTTTCTTTTCACACTGGTGGTATGTTTTAGCTTATGTTTTAAGTTAGTGGTTATTCAGTCTCTGTTCAGGTACTTTTATGTTGCACATTATTATTCTTCTTCTAGATGAGAATTGACCCCCAGTGAAGTTAGCCCCTTAAATTATGCAATTATATTGAAATTTTAAAGTTTACCTTTACACTCAAAAATCAAATTCTATCAATGCATCCCTCTATGTATGATGATTAATAATAACATAGACATGTCAGGTGTAAAGTGCTGTGATTTTGAAATGCTTACACTTGCAGAGCATTCACTTCCTGCTTTGAAAATGAAAATCGCTTCAGTTTGCCAACACAATGCCCACTGAGATTACCTTGCCATCAGCAGAACATTGCTAGAAAATATCTGTAATCTCATGAGATCTTGTGGAAAGGCATTTTCCTCCCCTGAGAGATGTGAATGGTCACAAAAGGCCTGCTTTAATACTAACCTATTCCAAGCATGCCCCCTTTTAAATGGTAATAGTTTTCAGCTTTTTTTTATTTTTATAGTACTTGTTTAGATTTAGTTTCTATCCCCGTTATATAATTTATAGATTAGATATGTAAAGATTAGATGATGGATTTCATTATAATTTAACTGGCAAATAGCTTTGTTGGCTTTTACACTGTACCTCCATCTACTGTATGTCATAAGGGCCAACTGGCTTTGGGTTGTGTTAAAGAGCTTGCTTCGGTTTGATATGCTTGTCACATTTTTTATTCATAAAATTGATCGGATGCAACGTGTTTATGATTGTAAACCTTGTTTCAGGTTGGCTATTCGTTTCTTGCACGTTGCCCGGAGAGTCCCTCTACTCCACATAGAAGTCTGTCTCTTCTTCACCATTCTCTACAATCACTTGAAGCAGTTATGAAATGCGTAGAGATGAACTGGATGGTTATCCTTGTGGGCTCTGCAGCTGTGGGAAAAACTAGCCTCATTCAGCTTCTGGCTCTCCTGACAGGCAACAAGCTGAAAGTTATGGCCATGAACAGTGCTATGGACACTACGGAGCTCCTTGGTGGATATGAGCAGGTGCATACAAATTCTGTAGTTGAATGTTTTATGGTCATAGTATGAGCAGCAAGTACGCCTGTTGTTTTTTATTTTACAGTTTTCATACCAATTGCTTTTTTAGGCGGATATTAACAGACCATGGCAGCGGCTCCTAGAGAAGGTAGGAAATGCCGTCACAACCCTTGTAAGAGACAGTCTCCTTGCTACAGACATCACTCCAGATGAGGCGGAAAATTTATTACGATCCTGGAGCCATCTGAACCTCAGTCATAAGCCCAAGTCAGTGGCAGAAGGAGGCAGGGGCATTACTACAGAACTACTTAACAAACTTGAGTCTGTACTTCTGCAAATCCAGAGACTGAATGGAAAACTCAACTCCTTTTCAAAAGCAGGTATGAAATACTATTTTTGTATGGGTTGGGAAAAGTTGCTTTACAATCATTTGGAAACGATGACTATTTTTACCCAATGGCACCTTTGCTCACTGAACCTAGCAGCAGTGAAAGAGTGTGGTCAAATTGACTGAAAAACAGGTTATATGCAGTGGCTGAAAAATGGTTTCTTATTACTTGGAATAGCAATATTGCTTAAAGTGACATTAAAGTCTCAGTTATTTTCTTTTATAGATCTACTGCTAGCGAGCAGTAGATGCATGCAAAATCATTGTGGAGTGAGCATGGAGCTGGCTTCCTTTCCAATCAGGAAGCCCGGCGGCCTAGTAACAAGTCAAGCCAGCTTCCTAGCCAATCAGGAAGCCGGGAGGTGGGTCATGACGTGCCGCCCGACTTCCTGACTGCTTAGGAAGCCAGGCTGCCTAGGAACAAGTGAAGCAGTCTTCCTAGCCAATCAGGAAGTCAGACGTCACCTCATGACTCGCCGCCTGGTTTCTTGATTGGTCAGGAAGTTAGGCAGCCTCTGAAGCCGTTGTTTTGGCTAAAACATCTGCTTCACAGGCAATCAGGAAGTCAGGCGACGAGTCATAAACCGCTGCCCAACTTTCTGATAAACTGCACAAGGCACCGATACTCTGTTTCGGCGAGTACCGGAAAAAAAAATATCGGTGCTCAATACCGAAAAACCAGTATCTGTGCTTGATACCGAATAACCAGTATCGGTGCATCCCTAGTGAAAACTTGCCTCTCTCTCTCCACCGCTCGCTCCCGACTGTAGAGCTGTAGCTTCTCGAGCGGCCGTGAAGGAGGATGTGTCCGGGCGCATGCGCAGTGGACATCACTGGTAGGGAGAGGAGCAGAGATGCACTGTAAGTCAATGCACGCAGCCATGAGCGTGCACGTGGGACAGGAAGAAACGGCAGTCTGCGCTGGATCAGAGACCGGCACCAGTGCTGGAGGTACTGCTGGAAACAAGTGAAAGGAAGATGATCGCATCACATAAGGTAAGTCCTTTAAGCAGAATTAGAATGGTGGAAAAAAAACCCAGAGACTTTTAATGTTGCTTTAATATCTCTAAATACAGCCAATGCACTCTATTATGTGCTCTACCCAAGGTAATTCCAAGGTAATGACCTGACACTATTCAACTTTAATATGTTGATCTTTCCATTTACTTGCCATAGTTGGCCATGCATTCTTGCTAGCCCCTATCTAGGGAAGAATAGGTTTAACCCCTTCATGACTGAGGCCCTTTTTTCAATTTTTGCACCCATTTTATATTCCACATTTTAGGCCTGAAAATGACGTAAAACCCCCCAACATTATATATTTTCTGAATGCCAAGACCCTATAGAATAAAATGGTGGTAGTTGAAAATTTTTATGTTGCGCAATATTAGCGCAACTCCTTATTAAACCCCAAAATTTAGTGACAAATTTAATTAAATGCCCCAAAACACAACAAATTACCCATTTTTTAAATGAAATATAAAAGATGAGGTTACAACGAGTAAAACGATACCCAACATGCCCAGTTTACAGATTGATTCTTGTCGCCAGCATTTATACTGCATATGGGGAAACCTAGCAAGTATATGTTTATCTTTAGCCAGTTGCTATTGTTTTACTTGTATTGCTTTACGGAGACCGCTCTGATCGAAGTGTCTGAGGAAGCAGGCCGAGGATTGCCTGCAGGCATTTTACTTATCCTAAATGTGTAGAGAGGTAGCTGAGGGATTAGGAGGCAGTGCAAGACTGTTTTATGAGCAAAGGACCAATAGCGACCAGGGCAAATTGTTTTTATCCTGCCTAGTCATTTAATCCCCTTTAAGACTGTCTAGTAGGCTCAGCGGCCACTCAACACAATAACTTTTCACTTTATCTGGCAAAAAAATATGGGAAAAATGGTCAGGTAAGGCAACTGTCTATTCAGTCTAGAAATGCATTATATCTGTGGACCTTTTTATAATTTGAAGATTTTTTACCAATATCCAAGAGTGCGGGGGATATTTCACTTTTAACTAGTCTGTTGTATATGTGATGAGGAAATTAAAATATAAAAAAACATGTATTCCTTGAAAACAAATGACATGTTTGTCTTGGGTACTGATTTCAGAGTTTGCTGCAATTTTGGACCATTTACACCACTTTAAGGACGAGCTTCTCAATTCAGTAGAGGGGCAGAGTACTGGGACCTTTGAATGGGTGGATGGAATGTTGGTTCAAGCTCTGCAGTCTGGCGACTGGTTACTTATGGATAATGTCAACTTTTGCAGGTAAGTTTTATTGGTTACTTAATTTTTCGCTGAAAATAATTGCCAATTTTGACATTTTTGGTTGGCCAGTTCCAAATTCTGAGTTTTCCTTTGTAACACCGTAAACTCAGTGCTTGCTACACTGCTGGTATAATATTTACAAGGTATATATGTATGCAACCACCAGGATTCAGAGTACAGTATTTAATCCCCTAGTGACGCATCTTCAGAAAAAAAATTGTTCCTGGGGACTGAAGCAATTTTGCTATGTGTTTAACCATAATTTCTATCTTCCTCATGCATTTGTACATACACATATTATATACAATTTTTTTAAATTTCGGTACTCGCCGATACCGAGTAACGGAAGTCCCATTCAGGAAGCCAGGTGGCGTGTAATGACTCGCCACCTGGCTTTCTGATTAACCGGGCAGCGTGTAAAGAGTCGCCACTCGGCTTCCCGATTAACAAAAAAGTCCCCTCTTACCTTTTAGTATGTGCAGCCTGTCATTTCCCGGGGCCTCTCCAGCGAGAACGCGTCCTTCGTCTGGTAGCCGGCCAATCAGGAAGCCGGGCGCCGTGTAATGACGCGACACCCTGCTTTCTGATTGGCCGGGAGGCCGGCTCCATGCGCTCGTCATGAGAGACCGTACGAAGGCCGCATTCTTGCTGGAGAGGCCCTGGGGGAATGACAGGCTACACATACTAAGGTAACCTTACCTCACGAGGCCAGCTTCCGGTCAATCGTGAAACCGGGCAGCGTGTAATGACGCGCTGCCCGGCTTCCTGATACCGGAAGTACTCGTGCTAGGCATCGGAGCATTTGGGCGAGTACGAGTACTTCCCCAAATACTCGGAATCGGCACCGATATCGATACTAGTATCGGTGCATCCCATATATATATATATATTGCAAATGGGGAAAAAAACATTTCTCTCCCGTTCATTGAAGGACACAGGCAACAGATCGTAGATCCTGAATGGTAGGGTAATATCGCCACCTGCAGGAGAACACGGGGGGTGTTCTGCTGCAGCGTGTGCAGAGACATCCGCGGCTACTGCCGATCGTTCGGCGGCAGCGGCCACTACTCGAGGCCCTGGTCTGATCGCGGCCTCCAGCCGGCTACACGGCTGCCATGTTGGATGTGGGCAGGCGCCCTCCCTAGCTTGTAGCTGCTCCGGCTCGGTCCCTGGCTGGCGGGGACTTCGGTGGGGCTTCCTCTGGTGGTCTTGGGACACTGGGAGAGCCTGGGGCCGTTTTTAGATGGGTCGGCCAACCGTTTGCTCTGGCTTAAGTGCTGGTCGGTAGACCAGGCTTCCAAGAAGGCTCTTCAGGAACTGCCCTTTTACTGGGAACCGTCCGTTTGGTTCCACCTTGGATGAGATAATTAAGGATCTGACGGGGGGTAAGAGTACCTTCCTCCCCCAGGCGCGCAAGACGGAGCAGCGCCGGAAGCCTGGGCCTACTTTCTCCGCTCACAAGATGTTTTTTTCGGCCCCCCGCCCTCTGACAAGGGCGGTAGGTTTGACAAACCCTCCTCGTCCCACTCCTCCAAGCGTCCGTGGCAGCCCAAGTCTGCCAAACCCGCCGGCAAGCCCCAGTCCGCATGAAGGTCGGGCTCCGGGGTGGGGGGCCGCCTTCGGCTCTTCGCGGATTTTTGGCTGGCCCACGTCTCCGACTCTTGGGTCCGGGAGCTGGTTTCTTCGGGCTACAAGATCGAGTTTCTGTCCCGTCCGGGCAACCGTTTCTTCCCATCCAACACGCAACTATCCCCTTCGCGGTTGGCGGATCTCCGTCGCGCGGTGGCGGACCTTTGGTCCCAGGGGGTGATTGTGCCTGTTCTCTCCGCGGAAAGATTCAAAGGGTTTTATTCAAACCTGTTTACTGTGCCCAAGAAAGAGGGGGTGCGGCCCATCCTGGACCTCAAACGCTTGAACACCTTCGTGCGGGTCCGTCGGTTCCGGATGGAGTCCATCCGGTCTGTGGTGGCATGGCTCCGTCAGGGGGATCTGCTGGCCTCCATCGATATCCGGGATGCATACCTTCATGTCCCCATTTGCGAGTCTCATCAGCGATTTCTTCGTTTCTCGGTGGGGGAGGACCACTTTCAGTTTGTGGCGCTGCCCTTCGGGCTGGCGTCGGCCCCATGTGTGTTCACCAAGGTGCTGGCCCCGATTCTGGCGCTGTTACGTTGTCAGTGGGTTGCGATCGTGGGGTACATGGACGATCTGCTCCTGCGGGCAGAGTCGCATTCTTCCATGGTGACAGCTCTGGGGGTCACGATGCGGTCCTTGGAGGAGTTCGGGTAGCTTCTGAACCTGCAAAAATCTTGCCTGGTGCCTTCGCCTCGCCTGGAGTATCTGGGTTTGGTTCTGGACACTGTCGCGGCCCGGGTCTTTCTTCCCCGGGACAAGCTCCTGAAGCTCCGTTCCAAGGTCCGGCTACTGAGGACTCGCCAGTGGTCGCCCATTTGGGTTTGCATGCAGGTCCTGGGTCTCATGGTGGCCTCCTTCGAGGCGGTGCCTTTTGCGCAAAACACCATACCAGGACCCTGCAAAGGAACATCCTGGTGCAGTGGGACAAGTCCCCCCTGTCCTTGGACAGGGAGATTCGGATCTCTCGGGAGGCAAGGGCCTCCCTGCGGTGGTGGCTTCAATCCCCGGTCCTGGTGCGGGGGGAAGTCTTTCCTTCCTGTGCACTGGACGGTGGTCACCACGGACGCCTGCCTTTTGGGGCTGGGGCAGGGTCCTTGATCGTCAGTGGATCCGGGGGAGTGGTCTCTGCACCCGGAGGTTTTTCGGCAGCTGTGTAGTCGCTGGGGGACGCCGGAGGTGGATCTTCTGGCGTCTCGGTTCAACCGGAAGGTGAACAGGTGTGTGGCCCGGGTCCTGGATCCCTGGGCGGTTCAGTGGATGCCCTGGTGGCTCCTTGGGGTCCTTACGGTCTACTTTTCACCTTTCCCCCTCTGTATCTGTTGCCTCGGCTGCTGCGTCGGATCACGGCCGAGGGCGTCACCGTCATCCTCGTGGCCCCAGACTGGCCTCGGAGGGTGTGGTACGCGGACGTGGTTCAGCGGGTGGTGGACGCCCCGTGGTGTTTGCCTCTGCGCCCCGGTCTTCTGTTACAGGGACCTGTGTTCCGTCCTTCTTTACAGTCGCTGGCTTTGACGGCGTGGCTGTTGAGAGCCTGGTCCTGAAGGACCGGGGGTTGTCCGATGCGGTTATTTCCACTATGCTCAGAGATCGCAAGCGGTTTCTAGAAAGCTTTACCATCGCACGTGGAGGGCCTATTTTGCCTGGTGTGAGGTTGGGGCCCTGTCCCGGCGTTTATTCTCCATCAGCAGAATCCTTGCATTCCTGCAGAGCGGGGTGGCTCAGGGGCTGGCCTTGAGTGCTGTGAAGGGCCAAATCTCTGCCTTGGCGGTGCTTTTCCAGCGGCCTTTGGCGTCAATTGCTCTGGTTCGCGCCTTTGTTCAGGGGGTGTCGCGCTTTGCTCCCCCTGTCCGCTCGCCTTTGGCTCAGTGGGATCTGAATCTCGTGTTTTCAGTGTTGCAGGAATCCACGTTTGAACCTCTTCGGGGGATTCCGCTTATGTCTGGCAAATTTCCGCCACGGGGCCTCTGTTCTCAGGTTTGTAAGGCCGTTACTTGGTCTTCTGTTCACATCTTTGTTAAGTTCTACAAGGTGGACGTGTTAGCATCGATGGATGCTTGTTTGGGGCGCAAAGTGTTGCAGGCGGCGCTTTGAGGGGTCTTTTGGGTGTTTTGTTGTTGCCCATCCCTCAGTGTGTTACTGCTTGGTGACGTCCCTACCATTCAGGATCTACGATCTGTTGCCTGTGTCCTTCAATGAACGGGAGAGAAAATAGGATTTTTGTACTCCCCGTAAAATCCTTTTCTCTCCGTTCATTGAAGGACACAGGCCCCGCCCTCTTTATGGGGTGTACACTCCTAACTGCTTGTTACTAAACTGGAGACTTGTCAGCAGGTGGGGGGTCTGGCCACCGGCAGGGGCCGCCCCTAGGCTGTAATTGGTCTTTAGTTTTGTGCCTAGCGTCCTTCTTCTGCAGGTGGCGATATTACCCTACCATTCAGGATCTACGATCTGTTGCCTGTGTCCTTCAATGAACAGAGAGAAAAGGATTTTTCGGTGAGTACAAAAATCCTATTTTTTCACAGTTTTGGCAATAATAATGTGTACATATTTAGTGTAGCTAAGAGAATGTAATTCATTATAAATTGTCTTATTGATCCTGATTTTATAGGGTATATATGTCTGGGATTTCATTTTAAGAGTTATAGGTCACAAAATACGAGGGGTGAAATACAATTTTGGCTCCTAATTTTGAATGGCCTCCTTGACACAATATTGTCTCATCATTTTTGTATTAAGGGTGGGTAGTTTGCCATAAAGGCTTTGCTCCACTTTTCTGGTTGTTCGGACTTTTAAATGGTCTTCCACCAGATTAAAATAAAATAAAAATAAAAAACCATTGCCAGTTGCTGTAGCTTTAGGGCACTTTGACACAGTCCAATCAGGAGGTGATTCATGCACTGCATATATCCTTCTGTGAATGTGTCTGGGTATAAGCAACCATCCTGAAGCTAATACTGTTGTTCAGATTATTTTAGTGTCTCATATTTTAGTATAGCAGGTGAGTGCAAAATAGTTTAACTTAAGCATAGGTTTAAGGGTCGCTTTCAAACTTGTAAATACTGCTTTGATTTTACAGCTCCTCTGTACTAGATCGCCTTAATGCATTACTGGAGCCTGGAGGTGTTCTCACTGTAAGTGAGAGAGGAGTTATTGATGGAACCATTCCGACTATAACACCACACCCAAACTTTAGGTAAGTTTCTCTTTATGGTGCTCAATTTCACATTATAAGGCAGAAAACTTGAGCTTGATTGTAGATTCGTGGTGGTTTTCATTGCTTAGGTTCTGCTTTTAAATGTGTTGATTTCTTCTATATTGTCACAGGCTGTTTTTGTCAATGGATCCTTCCCATGGGGAAATATCCAGAGCTATGAGGAATCGGGGCATTGAGGTTTATATGTCTGGAGATGGTGATGGAGTCATGTTCGATTCTTTTGACATCAAATATGTATTAAATGGTTTTGGTATTATTGGAGACCACATATGCAATGCTTTGATAGCAGTGCATGCTGACATTAAGGAATCTGTCATTGGTAAGTAGCAACTATCTTGTAATCTGTATTTACTTTACCACTATATTTTATATCATATCTGTCATAAATCTTTGCTCTCCTCAAACACTGTCATTCTCCAGTCTTTGGCTGCTCAAGGATAGACGAGTAGAAAGAAACTGAAATTGTTTTTATAGTAATCTGTATTATCTGTAACCACCTATGACCTTAAGGCCCGGTTTACACCACAAAGTCTGCGTTCCAGAGCGTTTGGCCTCTGGAATGCAAGCCGGCCGGCTCTTTGCATTCAGGGGGTGGGAGGGGTTATGGCTGTGCACTGAAGTCAATGGCACCACAGCCACGCCTGCACCTGGAACACAGGCACATTAGTATTAGCGTTCTGGTCCAGTGCGTTCTGCAAAATAGTGTTTGCAGTATTTTTGCAGATCACACTGGACGGGAATGCAGGCACTAATTTGCCTGCGTTCTGGGTGCAGGCAATCGCAATGTGGGGTGCGTGGCTGCGGCGCCATTAACTTCAATGCACCGTCCCGTTCCTGAACGCAGGGACCCGGCCAGCTTACGTTCCAGTACATTCCAGAGGCCTAATGCTCTGGAACACAGACTGTGGTGTGAACCGACCCTAAAGAATATGGCCATTGGCTAGAGCTTTGGTTGAGTTGAATTCACAGAAATTGGGTACCAGAAGTGAGAACTTCATATTTGCTGCCTCAGTTGCTTGAGGTAGGTTTCTGATTTGCATTTAGAATTGCCTTCTCTTGTAAGTTCAACCTGAAGTGTATTGTACACATATAATACCGTCACTTGTTCCTCTCCCTCACCCTTAGGGACAAGCTATTAAATAACATTTTTCTATCAAATCATATTGATTTGAAGAGATTCCTGTTTTTAGAACCAGTGATGTATTCACTGGTTGTGAGTTGCTGGAAGCGATTGGCAGTCTCATGTAAATATCACAGCATTCTGCCTTAGATCTTTTAAAAAAGAGTTCTATAAAAGAACACATCCCTGGGATCCCTTTTAGATGTGCCTGCTTCTCCTTCTGTCCACTGTGTGCTGCAGGCTTTAGCTGTGTAGTCTGCTGATTGGTTGACTAGGGCAGACGTATCTAAAGGGATGATGGGTAAGTAATGTCATGTAAAGCTCTGGAACAAAATGATTGATGGCATTAAAAGCCAATATCTGTAAGAGGCGAGACCACGACCTTGATTGATGAATGACATTGTTCATATACGAAAATGAAGGTGCGCTCAACTTCAAAGGGTCATATTGTGGAGATGTAAGTTTACAGGGAATTTAGAGTTATCAATTTCAACAAAGGAGAGGACTTGCTACCAGTCTGGAAAAAAGGGCATTGACAAGTTCAGATTTTCTAAAGCCAAAGCTTTTTTTTTTTTTTTTCCTCAGCAGAGCTGAAGAAAAGGCCTGTCCTCCTAGGACAGGACATAAGCCAAAAACTGAGGCATACTGGGAGTAAATAGGGTTCTCCTAGGCTGGCGTACAGTTTTTCTTCTGTGGGTGGCAGTGTAAGCTGACAGCTAATGACTCTCTCTGTCCCTTAATGGATGAGCAATGGATATACTTTGATTGTTTCTCATCATATTTTATGATGCATACAATACCTATTGTTTCAGGATTCATTTTTTAAAACCTTGTGATTTAGCAACATTTATTATTATATTAGAGAAGTAGTATAATTTATCAGTAGTTTACCATGAATTTCTACTAAATGGCTATGTGTTTCCAGGTTCTCCTTGCAGCTCTCTGTCGTACCTGCTCCATGCTGCTGCTCTGCTTTCCCAACAGCTGCAAAGAGGCCTTAGTCTGGAACAGGCTTTCCAAAGAGCCTGTAGTGAAGTGTTCATTTACTCACAGCACTCTCTCTTAGCCCAAAAGGTGAGCGCTTTCACTAATGTTACATATATTACTATAATATATCAAATAATGCCTTGTGATGTTACATGGAAAAGTCATGGCTGTATAGACTAAATATACATTTAATTTATTTGAAAGTTCTGTGTGAGGGATCAATGCAATTATTTGTCCCTCCTATCCAAAATGTGCAGCTTTCTAGGACTTGCCATACCCTCATTGTCTGAGTTATAACACGTGCCTAAATGGTTGTGGTTTTGTTGCATTTGTCATTTTGTTGAATAAATGTAGTAGACTTCCAGTGACATGTTTATGAATCTGATCAGTTATAGTGCTTCAGATTTCCATAGAAATATAGCATTTTTGCAACCTTTGACTGTAAGCTCTTCGAGGGCAGGGACTGATGTGAATGTGTACTACGTAAAGCGCTTTGTAAATTATCGCCACTATATAAATACCAATAATAAATACATCTGCTTATATGTTCTTGTTTTGTAGCAAGTGCACGAAATTATTACAAGACATGTTTGTAGTCTCACACCTTCAGACAATGGATCTTTGCTGTCCATTGGTCTGTGGCCCGACAAAGTGCCTTCTGCTCTTTTTTCTGCTGAAGATTCTCTCTTGTCTACTATTTCGCGGGATGGACAAGTCCTCCTTTATGTTTTGAACCGACACAGTTTACAAAGCAACAGGTAAAAAAAGTATAATGTGTTTTTTTTTTTGTTTTTTCCCCCCTTAATCAGCTTCCAGGACCACAACCTGAGAGATGATTAGTTCCTCCCTTTTATTGGAAACACACCTGACAGTTTAAAACCCCTCCCACCCACCTCGTCCCTCAGTAAAGAATGTGTTTCTTACAATCTAGGACTGTCGTGTGTTCTGACCGGTTTGGCCGTGTGGTCATGTGTCCCCCTCTGTGAAGCTCTGTTGAAGATATCTGCCCTGCGGCCTTGCTGTTTTGCAGAGGTTCCCCTTTTTTCCCCAAGAGGATGTCGTCCTCTTTCCTTAGGGGGATGACTCTTGATGCCCCCTGTCAGCCTTCCCTTCTGGATGCAAGATTAGTGTGCCTGTATGGCGGTGGCTGGTTTAGGTGAGCGGTAGGTGAGGCTGTGCACTGGACTGGTCACCAGTCTTCACAGATTGTGTAGATCCAGCTCCTCATGATTTTAGTATTTGTGAGGTGCTTCTTACAGGCCCTACATGATAGGATAAGCACAAGGCCAATCTATCTTTTATTTTAGTTAAGTCTAGTGCTAGTTTACTAGTATAATATACAACTAGCCTGCATCAGGGTAGTATAGACTATGAATGGCAAACCACAAGTGACAAAAAAGGAGGTTTTCACATGCTTTTTTCTTGGGGATGCCGTTGGCAAAAAACAATTTCTGTAGCATGTTAATCCTAAAATTTCCATGTGGTTGAAATGGTAGGTGAATACTCTGTCTGTTTATGTGTGTTTTTTCTTCTGAAATCTCCCACTGATTCTGCAGCTTCTAGGTTAGGAAATGTCTGTTCTGACTTATGTGCTGGTTCTTGCTGCAAAAATCCTGTTGCATATGTAACCCTATTTGAATGATCTCATTCCCTTAGGAATTCCTGGTTTACTAGAGCTACAAGTGTGTAATTCTCAGTGTGATGGCAATTCGGCAAACTCGGTAATTTAATGAAATTACATCTGTTTTTTCCTTGTCTCCATATAGGACTTTTCCTCTTGCTTTGCAAGATCTTGAAAAGATAGGACAGTCCAATCCCACAGACAGTCTTAACTTCAGCGCTGTAGAGTTGGAAGCTCAGTGGATGGATGAATCTATAGTTATTCAGCAGTCTGTCCAACTCATCTTGGAGAAATCAACATCAGCAGACTGGATGCTAAGGATGCGATGGCTGTGCCACTTGGCAAAAAAGCTACCAGCTGAAATGGGTATATTTTTTTTCTTCTGCTGTGTGCCTTCTGTCTCTGCCTGTCTTTTATGTAATGTCAGTTGTCAGGAGTGTAGTTTTACTGTATATCCAGGAATCTGTGCTTTGTTTTTTTTTGTGTTTTTTTTTACAATTTTTTGTACGTTTTGTTTCTTGCAAAGCCTTATGTATTTCTGTTAATATTGTTGAATGACTCTTCTAAACACTTGTACTTTTGTTTATTCAAAATGTGAACAGATCAGATCCATACAGAAATAGATGCTGGAGGACATGCTTTGAGCAGATTTTACTCTAGTCCACTCCCTAAAGAAATGAATAGCGTGATAAAACTCATCCAGACTTTTATTTTAGGTAGGTGGCTGAATACATAAGGGGAAAACACTCTGTTCCATACAAACTTTTCCTTTGGCAGTTGTTTTGATCTATAATTATAGTTTTCTAAAAGTTTTGTCTGAAGCTAGAATGGCTTGTCATTTCCAAAATAGCTGATCCACTATACCCGTATACCTTTACATCTGTACTTGCTTTACTTTGACTGATTTGAGAATTGTCATTCAAAAATTAGTGAAGATTTACTTAAATCAGGTGTGCCCACAATTTGTGTTAAGATCTACTTTTCAAATGACGAGCTACATGAGATCTACCCCAACGCAAAAAAAAAACCTCCCTCGCTCTCTCTCCCCTGGCTCACCTTGCTGTATTTTGCAAACAGTGTAGTGCAACAGGATGTGTAAACTAATATTCTTTGAGGCAACACTTCAACCACCAGTATCCACCAGAAAGGTGTCAGGTGGCTTGGCTCAGCAGACTCAGGCTAATAAGTAATCATATGTGCACAGCTAAATAAATATATCAAAATGGAATAAAGGGGCCACCATTCACACCCTTCGTGATCTACCAGCATCAGATTTAAGAGCTACTGGTAGATCACGATCTACCTAATGGGCACCCCTGACTTAAATTATCCAATCACATTCAGATGCAATAAACAGACATTTGCTTTTACATGACTGGATAATTGAAGTGAATATTTTCTTTTTTTAAATGAAGATTAACTCCTTTTGTGGATCAGCCTCATTGTGTCTGTGTTCCATCCCACCACTGATAATTGTTTAAAGCACTCAGTGAGTTTTATTTTTCACAGAAAGGTGTTTTGTTAAGGAGTTATGTTAAATGGTCTCTTTATTGACAACTAGTGCTTATAATTGCACTAGCTTTACTGAAGAATTAACATAGAGGTATTTTGATCATTTTAGTATGTCACATTCACTGCAGGTATCTCTTCCAGCTGCATTTGTTTTGAATGATCTGCAGTGAATGGTCAATGTTACATTGAATATTTTATAACTATGCCAAATATTTTGCAAAAGTGATTCTTTTTTCTTTTAACATCAGATGAGAATTGTATACCACTTGATCTCCGTTGGAATATGCAGTTATTGGACGTTGTAAAACATTCCCTTAGCCTCGACACAGGCATGGAATCTGATAAGGAGCTATTTCGCATGCTTGACAATGTTATAAACAGGTAAAATGTATAGGTAACAGTGTGTGTGTGTGCATTTTTTTAAAAATTGACAGTTGCTGAACCATAGTAAACTTGTGTCATTGTATTCATGTTTTTTTTTTTCACTTTTGTAGTCAAAATTGAGAAACCCACACCATTTTTGTGTTCCTGTTCACACAGCATACTTAATATATTTGAAAAAAATGACCTTTTAGTAGTTTCTTTAGTGAAAGGCTTTGGTCAGACTGCAGGCTATCCTGAACAGTTTGTGAGTGTGTCTCCAATACAAAGGGGGACTGATTGCATTCCTTTAATTACCATGCCATGCTTCTACATCTTTAAACCTTGGTCAGCACACACTGTTCAAATCTTGTTTACAACTGGGGAGATCTCCCAGAACAGTACAGACGGGGTTCATTTTGGTAAACATCTCCCCATTCAGCTCAAGCTCCCTCCTTGAAATTACAGAGAATGGGAAACCATACTCTTTTGGAGCTTTCTGAAAAAAGAATGAATATTAAGTTAGTGCTATATGAATGGGAGCAAATATAAAATTAGGTGTTATCGCGATTCCACTGCAAAAGTGCAAATACACTTTAAAGGTACCTGTGCTGATAAATCTCCCCACTCCTTCCTGACCATACCCCCCAATCCTATAACAAGTGGCTACTAAAAAGCATGTATAGCATGCTTGTGTTTTAAGGCTTAACTCTGACTATTCTTGTGATTCTGCAAATTTAGTTTAGGCGTGTTAACATGCTACTGTTTAATAAAATTATTTAAATAATTTTAATAATAAAATACACAAGTAAAAAAAAAAGCAACATTTATCATAAAATAGTGGCTGTACTTAAGTTATAGCAGAAGAATGGTTGCTGAAGTAGCAGTTGCACCTTCATTCCTGCCCATTTGGAGAGGCCCATGATCTCTGACAATGTGACTTTAGATTGCTGAGTCTGGTTGATGGAATCTTTGTATACATAAAAAAAAAAAAAATCTTATAAACCTGTAAAGATCAGTACAGGCTTAGCTTTTACTTAGCTTACTAGTGGAAGTTCTGAATCCATAAACAGACCTTCATTGTGGAGAAACTAGGTTCCGCTTTGCTGTCTAAAAACTGGTTTGCTCCCTTTGAAAAAAAAAAACCTGCTTTAGTATGGTGTGAAGAATATAACAGTGCAACCCCAGGGCGTGAATTGTAAGGTCTTTTTAATGTGTTCTCACGTGTCTGCCTAATGATACTTCAGATCAAGGTGTGCTCCAGACACTTAAAGGAGATCTATGAGGTGAGTGCTTTTCACCCACCTCATAGTTCTAGCCGACCTGTGACAATGAGACTGTCACAGGTCGGCTCAGTAGATCGAGAGGTGAGCGAACACATACCGGCGTTCGCTCACCTCTCGATCCTGTCACGGCTCTCTGCCGTGACAGGGGAGGGGCTGGATTCCCCCCGCTCCGATCCTCCAGCGATGACTGGCGGAACGGACAGGGGAGGGAGCGGGTACAGCTGGCTCTGGCCCTGGATAGGCAAAGCCAGTTGTCACTCACGCAGCTGGGCGGATCCAGACATAATTGTCGGGATCCGCTTCAGCTGCGAGGTCTCAGTATACCGTGAGCTGTATCTCGCGGTATACTGAGCTTAGGGTGACTGAAAGACGCTAGTTTGTGTCCTCCCGTTACACTAAGGAGAACTATGGGGAAAAGCCCTAACCTGTCTGAGATTTGACAGGGCTCCTTACTTGGTAATAAAGATCGGCTAACATTGCAGAGAGACTGCTATATGTCAGACTTGGGGAATAAATAATAACGAGGGTGATAGTAAAGATTGTCCTGTTTTTAGGTTTGCTCTGGATGTTGAAATTAAGGATATATATTTATTATAACTAAAAGTTGAAAATTTGCTTGAAGTTATTTTTTTAAATAGTACCCCTTGAATAGCTACATAATATCCACTACTGAATAAATTGGGATGTGAAATGTACAATTACACAAATAAGTGGCTTCCTCTTCTAGCAATAGAGAAACATGGATATTGTGCTAGTTTCCTCTTGATTCAGATTGCTAGACATTCAAGATATTTTAAAGTTTTTGTGGTTATACACATTAAAGTTCAACCTAGTTTAAATGCTTGTATCAGTGTCAGGTCTTCTTTTTTTACACCTTATGCTATTTCTAATTATTTAATTTTGCCATATATGCTAGTTCTGCTTCTTGCTTCATAGTGCTATACAGAGGCTGTACATTACTTGTCCTTTCTCTCAATGCAATATTATTCAGCACAACTAAAATTCACTGTTCGTTTTAAATACACTGTAGTTTCCCTTTAAATTAAAAGTATATTGGTTATGTTTATGAAAAGGCCTATTTATAAAGCACTAAAGCTGATGCTTAAATTCACTACACAATGGTTGTCAGGGCAGTGACTTTTCCTCCTCTCGCCTTACGTTAATGACATCTGAATTTGAGATAGAGATATAGTGTCTGAAAGTGAGCAATTTCTGCTGTGTCTTATTGGAAAAACCTATAGTGCTCTGTGAATCCTGAGTCAAGGACACACTGTTGTTTGTGAAAGGAGAGAATCTATGGGAACAATATATTTAAAAAAGTGTCTAAATCAGTTTAAGACTAACAAAAACAATAGACTAAACTCATTTAAGGTTGCATATAGCAAGGATTACTTAGTCTTGTTTTTTTTCTTACAGGGGATTGGTTCTTCTCAACCGGCAAAGACAGTCATATATTGAGACTACCTCATCCAAAAACCTGAAGAGATCAAGTGCTTTGAAAATTGCTGTAGATTTTCACCAAGGTAGCTTTTACCCTTGTAGATTGTTTTTTAATTACGCAGTAGGTAGAAGTTACTTCTTTAACCTTTAATGCAAAACAAACAAAACAAATATACAGAGCTTAGAAAATGAATCTCCAGAGTTTTTGCTTTATACAAGTACCAAATGTATACGTAATCCTATATATTATAATAGTCTCTAGAATAAATAACAAGCTTTTATCATACAACATTTTGATTTCACTGTTTGTTGCATTGTAGATTCTCCTAACCTTGTGTTTTTTGTTTTTTTGCGGTTTAGATCCTGCTGTTCACCATGATCTTCCTCACCCAGTGGTTGCCCATCTTGTTGCTTTCTTTGACCTATGGGACATTCTTGTGTTTGAGTACCTTCAGTCCAACCACACGCCACTATCAAATGAAGCTACAAGTGAGGTGAGATTTTGCCTGCTGCACAAAATTCCAATTGTTTGCTTTCTGTTTTTCCTAATAGTCTGAAAGTTTTGAAGTTAAGGGAGGAAAGGAGGGGTAGAATTTGGCATTTTTTCCTCTATTGTCCAAGGAGGGACACAGCTCTGAAGAATTGTGAGACGTAGAGTTATGCTGTTGCCTCTTGGAGACATGGACACTAGGCAAACAAATAAAAGCCTATCACTTTTAGGCCAGAACCCTTTTCACCTGGCAGTTTCGCTTTTTGTCTTCAGGAGAATGGATGTCTCCTTCTGCTTTGTTTTAGTTTGTGAAGAGCTTCTACTACCAAGGGCTGCTATCTGGTTCATACATATATTCTGGGATTTCTCACTAGCTAACCGTAATGAGAGATTCATACCTTATGTTAAATCCTGGTAGCTTCTCTGGTCTTCAAGATGCAGCTAATCTCTGGTCTTGGTACTTATGACTTGTCCTGCGGTGGTCATGAAGTAGGTCATCTCTGGTCTCCGTACTCATGCCTCGTCCTGTGTTTCTGTTTTCATAATTTAATGGTCAGGCCACTATTACCGGATATATCGGGAACAGGACCGTGGAGTTGAGTAAAAAAACGTATTTACCTCATGATTATAAGGCGTCCTGTTCTCGAGCTAAAGATTTTCAATGGATTTCTTGGAGTCCTAAGGTGCTATATAAAATCTGCCCACTCTGCATGCTTTCCGTCACCCGGGAGGCTTTTTGGCATTGGTGGACATCAAGTTTGCCTATCTGCACATGCCCATTAGTGCTACCTGTGTTTTTGCTGTGGACAGGCAGAAAAAGGGGAGCCTTGGTCATCGGAGAAATCTTGTCTTCCGATCAACATTATAAAGCAATTTGACTGTCCTTGCAGTGCTGGTTCACTTATCTGGATGGCCATCCCATCTGCGCTCTTTCGGACACTGCTATGACAGTGGCATACATCAACCATCTGGGAGGGTCCAGAAGTCTTGCCACCGCCAGAGAGAGCAGAACTTCATGTTCCAGCCTTGTCCACTGTTTACAGGCATGGACAGTTGGCCAGGCAGACTTTGATAGCATCTAAACCTGAGAGTTTCTCCTACACCTGGATGTGTTCCATGACCTGTGTCACAACTGGGGAAAGCTGGATGTGGATCTCATGTCCTCCAGGTTCAACAGTTTATGTTCTGGTGTGTGGTCTACTTGATCAGTACATCCTGTGCTTTGCCTTTCGTCAACTGAAAATCCATTACTTGTTGGCTTTGATCGAGATTCAGTTGAATTTTGTAGCTGCGGATTGGCCCAAGCAAATGTGGTTCTCTGACCTGACCAGGCACCTGGTAAACTCTAAACTTCAAAAACTGCCCTTTAAACCCAACAGAAAAATTCCTCTCCCTACTTTTACCCATAATGTGGAATGTTTACTTTTTAATGCAAAACATTAGATAACCTGTTTCAATGATGTAGTAATTGTGGTTGTTTTTTTTTCTTTTTAGTTGTTATGTTGCCTCAGGTGGCGTGATCGGTTCAGGGTGCTGTCTGAGACCGTTGGATTAGAGACAGCTGATTTGGCCTTGCTAAACTTTCATTGGCACTGGGTGGAAAAATACTCCTTAAAACCGATTACACAGCTGTTCTTTGGACATGAGCATCACAGGTATGTGTCAATGCATATATGCTTAATATCTGCTAAAAGCTCTCCAGCTCTGCTGAATGATTGGATAAAGATAGTTTACATTTTTCATGGTTTTTGTTACAAATGTTCCTTACATAAACTGTTTATATAACTGCTCTGTATGTCATCTAACTTAATTATATCACTGATGCAATGGTGCTGGCATCATAGGTTTGCCTAAACGAAAAGTTCTAATAAAGTGCACAAAATAGCTGAATTCTGCTTTTTCTTTTTTACATATTCAGTACATATCTTTACAGGAATCCTTAAGTGCTAAAAAGACATCTAATATTCTTCAGCCAAGGGAACACTATACCTGTGCTCCAGTGTATTTTAAGTGTAAGGGCCCATTCACACCAGATACCGTGCGTTCCAGCCCGATTATAGCCAGAACGCACTGCCTCGCATTGCGACCGGCTCACTTTTTTGTGGGACAGAAGGGGGCGTGACCATAGCCACGCCCTCCGGCCTCAATGTGATCGGCCGCACAGGATCGCACATTATGCTTGCGGTCTGGTGCGATCAAAATAGTGCTTGCAGCATTTTGATTGTACCGGACCGCAGGCATAATGTGCCTTGCGGCCGGAGGGCGTGGCTACGGTGCCATTCACTTCAATGGCCCGCCACGCCCCCTCCTGCTCCACAGAATAGAGAATATAGTATCTTCCTACTTGCCATACAATCTTTCTCTTCCTCCATTCAAGGACACATTCCTCTCCCCTGATATATTATTGTTCCTTCTTTTTGATGCTAAATCTGGTACTGATTAAAATGTTCGTGTTCGATTAATCGAAATTTTTTTTAATTGATTAATTTCGATTAATTCTAACGCACATACAGATCCAACTACATTGGCCTATACACATACAGCACAGCAATGAAGTAATAAAATGAACTAGGATCACACTAATCCAGCACATTATTAATCTCACGTGCCCCACTCAATATGGCCGCCGCTTGAGTGGGGCAACTCAGAATAATAACGTGCTGGATTAGATGTGCTGTATGTGTATAGGCCAATGCCTTGGAGTTTGGTCCACACTTGTGGGCAGGTGCGTCCCGAGGCTGGGTGACACCGGAAGCGGTAACAGAGTCACCCCGCCGAGACGTCACTGCGCACACGCGTGACGATGTCATCGCGCACGCGCGGCAGTATTCTGATACCTGTCGGCGGCCATCTTGGTGATGGACACCGGCAGAGAGAGGAGGGGACAGTCACCAGGCAGGATAAGGTATGCCGCCGGGTCCCCTCCTCTCTCCTGATACTGTCGGGCGTTCGGTCCATGACCGAGCGCCCGA